TGAGTGTAGGGTGGCCTTAAATGAATGACTTGGCCTCTCTGAACTAAGTGCTGTACCTGTTCATTGTACCTGGGACACAGCGGTGCCCAGTATGTGATAGTGCTCGAGGTAGTCATGCCCAGACCTGGAGCAGGAAAGTGTGGGGCTCAGTGGTTAAGAACATGGGCTCAACGGTCAGACAGTGTTAGGCTCACATCTTTGTTCTGCTCTGCTAGTCATGTGACCTAAGCCAAGTAATAAGCTCTCTTGGCCTCAATTTCTTCAACACCTGGCCTGGGGTTCGTTTGCAATAACCTTACTGAGTCGATCTGTAAATAGGCATAAGCACCCCCCGATTGGGCTTTTGAGGTGCCCCTTTGAGCTGCTGTATGGACAGAGTCCAGCCCAGTGCCAGGTGGGGAGAGATGAGCAGAATGGTCCCGGTCCCAGGGAAGGGCTGCAGGACCTGTGGGTGGAGCTGGTTGGCTCGGTTACATTCGTGCTGCAGTGAGTGCCATGTTAGCCCCCTGCCTCTGGGGCCCACGATGCAGCATGGTGACAGGTCTCAGGGGGAAGGGCACAGGTTGGCAGAGGGGGAGCTGACTTCAGAGGTATCTTGTTGGCTTTTCCCATGCCCAGGATTACCCCATCACAGATGTCTGCCAGATCCTACAGAAAGCCAAGGAACTCCAAGACTCAAAGTAGCCTGGCAGCAAGAGGCCCAGGTTTGGGAGAGAAGCCACCACCGTCCGCGTCCTGGCTTCTGGAACACAGAGACGCCTGTGGGATCCCAGCCCGAGGGGAAGCTCCAGGCCTTCTCCCTTGGCTCCGTCCCCCTAGGCCACTCCCACGGGGGCACACTGTGCCAGCTCCTTCCTGACCACCAAGCCCTGGCTCCCTCTCTGCTCTGCAACCCTGGGGCCCTTTCCCAGGCAGCTGAGCAAGGCTGGCGCTCCCAAAGTTGTTTCCTGGGACTGGGCAGATTGGGGTGCTGGGGCTGGCAGAGGTCCCTCCTTGCCTCTGCGCTGCTGCTCCCTCCTGCTCTGCTCGGGGGAGGTGCTGGCAGATGAGCCAGAAACCACCTGGGGGGTTGGTGCTTAGGCTTCTCCGTGGGCACAGTGACACTGAGGGAGCTAAGAAGCTGCCAGGCCCAGGCCACACCCTCTGCCCTCTCACTGAGTGTGTGTGTCTGTGTCAGTCTTCTCTGTGTCCATCAGTGTGGATGTGAGGGGGAGGGTTTTTGATTCCCTCTAGGTCTCTGCTTCTCTGTCTCTCTGCCTGTCTCCTTCTCCCTCCATCTCTTTCACAGAGGCTTTGCTCCTCAACATTGCTCTCCCTCTGCCCTCCTCTCTTGGGGTGCCTTATCCCCAGCCTCTTCCCCTCACTCCTCCCCTCCACGCCTGTGAAACCCAGAGATAGAATGAGGAGTCTGGCTTAGCAAAGCCCCTGGAAGTCACCCTTGGCCTTTGCACCCTGTTCCCACCCCCAGCCCTAGGCTCCCAGGTCCCTCAGACTGGGAGGGAGTCCACAGTGCCTCACTAGAGGGCCCTGAACCTGATCCCCCCCCCCAATCTTGGAAACCAAAAGCTGCTGAGAAATGATGGCCCATGAGGCTTTGAGCCTCTTACCCTCCTTTCTGCCCAGGGATGGAGGAGGGAGAGCTGAGTCTTCCAGAGATTTCCCCAAAGGAAAAGGACATTAAGGCGGTGCTGCGCCAGGGTTTGGGATCCAAGTGCTTGAGAAGAGTAGTCATTCCCGCGGCTTTCAGGGCCCATCCAGGGAGGGTGAGTCCCATGATTGGCCAGCGGGACCAAAGGGAGCCTCCCTGGGCCGGCTGAGCTCAGAGACCCTGGATCCTGTCAGGGCCAGGGGAGCCGAGCAAGCAGAAGCGGGTGCTGGTCACCCACTTGGGCTGGTCCCAGGATTTGGGGTGGATGCACTTAGAGCAGGAGCCATTGGCTACTCCCACTGCTGGGCAGTGGGAAGAAAGGGCTTATTCTGATCAAGTCCCTTCCCTCCTCTTGTAAGGAGGCAGGTGGTTTGGGTCTGGACAGCTGGGTCATGGGGCAAGGGTCTTCATCCTCTGCTCAGACTGGTGGGCAGGTGCCCTGGTACCCCCGTAGCCTTCCTGAGGCTGGAGCCAGGACTTCTGCTGCCCGCATAAGCCAGGCTGTGGGCCAGGAACAGCTTCCCCCAGGAGCTCCTGCTTTGGATGCTGCTGGGACTGTGCACTTGCCTGTTTGCCACCTCCTCTCATAACACACAGTTTTTGGGAGATTTTTACTATTTATTCAAACTCTTGGATATTTATTACAGATTGGCAAGTGCTTGGTTTGGGAGTGTGGGTGGAGCTGGGAAGGCAGAAAAGGAGTTAGAAGCATGTTCTTTGGGCTTTCTGAGGTCAGACTCAGCGTCCTCTCCCCCTGCCTCTGGAACCTTCCTGCTGTGGGTGCTCTGAGCTCTGTCCTGGAACTGGAAGGAAGACTCCAAGACCCTGCATGGGACAGAGACACTGCTTCCCACCAGCCTGGCCCACCTTCCCAGAACTTGTCGGCTTGTTCAGTTCCAACTCTGACTCCTTCTCAGCCTGAGATGTGGGCCACAGCCTGGGACCCAGCAGACACTGCCCAGGGCACCTGATGCGTTCCCTTCGCCTGTCCCCTTGCCTTCCCTTCTGGGGCCACACTACTTGAATCACTGCAGCTGATTTGCCTCAGTGGCAGGCCTGAGGCCAGTGCCCTCTCCTTGACTTTGGGATGAAGGTCAAGAGCACAGGGACCATGTCCAGGTTTGGCTGAGGAAAGGACCTACCCCTGGTGATTTCCTTTCTCTAAATTCTCAAGGGAGGTTCCCAGACAGCCCGAGCAGCCAGCTTCCTGCTTGTGAAGCTGCCCCGGGAATTGGGACACATTACAGATTGGGCTGTATTATTATGAATTCAGCAGGGCTTGCTCACTCCAGGGGGTCAGAAAGTTAGTCTGCTTTTGTTTTTTGTTCTTTTTGTGTGTGTGTGTGTTTTTTTAAGGAAATCAGTTTTGTTTCTTGAATCAATGCTGTTGATGACAAGTTGTCTTTAATAAATCATGTGTTCTTTGCAAAGGGCATTGGTGCTGTAATGGGCTGAAACCTTTAAGACCTCAGAGCAAGAAAGAAAAGTTTGAGCAGGAGTGGACTCAGGAGGCTCTTAAAGTTGTCTGAGGAAAGGCCAGGAGAGTCTTGTTGGTGGAGTCTGTTTAGCTCCTCATTCAGACATGCAGTTTGCAGCTGGAAGAAGGAGGGAGCGTGGACTGGGGAAAAAGGTAATTACATCATGGTTTCAGAGCAAGTTTGTTTGTTTTTTTAGATTGAAAAAGTATGAAAACTCAAACACCAGTAAATAAAACAAGTCATTTATATCCCACAATCTGGAGGAAATCCCTGACAATATGTTAGTCTTTTCTTCGCAGATGTAATTTTTATTACATAATTGTCTTTCTTTTTCCAAGCAAATGAATACTTTTATTTACATGGTAAATTTTTAAATGCGTGGTAGGGTTTTGACCTCAAATACTTGTCAGCTGGGCAATTTATGAACCTGAAACATACCTAGTCCCTGTCCATTTTAGGGTCCAATGCATACAATCCTTGCTTTCCTTCCCTTGCCCCTCAAGGGCCTTTGCAAGTATCTCATTTTATGCCCCAAATCCCCTGAAATGCATAATTGTCTTGATACATAGTTTTGTGTATTGTCAGCCCCCACATGGTAGGGTGTTGAGCAAGTTGCTGTATGACTTAAATTTTTATAGGCTACATACTGTTCTTTCTAATACGCTAACAACGTTGGAAATCCAGGCTCTATTTCTGAACATTTATTATAACACTGCGAGGAAGTTTCTGTTGAAATCCTTGCGTTCCCGACTTATTTTCCCAGCTCAGTCCTCTAAGTGGGTTTAAAGGTGAACACCTTTTGAAGGCTTTTCATACATATTGCCAAGCTGCTTTCTGGAATTGTGCCCGTTTCTATTCCAAACAGCAGTTAGGACGGGCCGCCTGCATCCTTGTTCTCTGGGTGTTAAGAAAACCTTGGCCTTAGAACTTTTGGTTTGTGGTGCAATTGTTAGGACGGACTCCGCTGCCTTGTCCTTGTTCTGCCACTAGGAGCTCTTCTCTAGACTCTTCTGGGGTAAATGTAGTGATGGAAGCACTTTGGACTATGGACTAGTACTGACTCCGGGAGCTCACAAAGCAGGAGCTCTCTGCGCAGGCGCAGAGGAGGGGGGACCCTCGCTGGAGACCCAAGAGGAGGCGGAGCGGCGTGGAGCGGTGGCCAATCACAAACCAAAGCGCCGGTGCCGCGCCCCTCAGGTCCGCATCTTAAAGGGCAAGGAACCATGACTTCCAATCACGAGTGGTCTCCCTTCATTAGTCTTACTCCCTTCGTCAGAGTCCTAAGCCCTTCCGAGCCTTAGAGCGTGGAAGGGTCGGACATAGCGCCCACTCAAGCCCCCACGCGGCCCCATCCCCGCGGTGGGCCCCACAGGCCGGCGCGGCCCCTTTAAGAGTCTCGCTGGTCCGA